CCAGATCGTACAAAACTTTCAGATTAATCTTATCGTGGGCAGCCAACGAATTTTCCAAGTTACATGCAATACCCAAATAAGCCCTGAGAAGTCAAAATCTCCACGATCATGCATTACAACCAATCACGTCTTGATAGAGTTACCAAAACATACACCATAAAATATTCAGTTTACCATAAATTAAACAACTTGGTGATAATCCAAGGGGTACTCCAAATTATAGATTACCCCATAATTATAATGGCATTTCATACTAATTTGTCAGGAAGCTAGATTTATTGAAAAAATTCAAATTTATCAAAACTGTTTCAAAATTATGCTTATGATACATATGCTATTTTAATATTTTTCAGCAAAAATACAGTCATGTAATGTCTTTCTGAGACTTTCCTGCAACGCAAATTAATTTGACTTACCATGTAACAGGTAGCCAGTGAGTGAATCTTGATTTGGATCAGATATAATACTTTCATTATGTTCAACAGGGAGAAAATGTAGCGATTTAAAAATATAGTAGATCTAACAATCTAAACTCGATGTGTTTTAGACAGTTTAATTTTAGTAAAGTGTGCATTTTCATGAATCGAAGGGTATAACCATGCATGTGTTTATAACCAGCCAAAGTACTCGTGTGATATCTGCATGTTCTACTTTATTTGTTATTTTAATTTATGTTTAGCTCTAAATTAAATAAAAGTTATTTCCTTATTATTAAGGCTCTTGTTTTGTAAATGGGGCCAAGATTACCAACGTTAACCTTCTTCAATTGGCCATCAGTTCTGAAGACGATCATTTATACCTTGTTTGTGAGAAGTGATTCAAGTAAACCATATGTTATCGCTTTCCTCATTTGGAAATAAATCCTAACAATTTGTAAATGCTTATAATTCTCTTGTCACAAAAAGACATCTGAGTGTTTCACATTAATATATTTTCTTTTTTCAGAAAATGTTAAAATATTTAATTTAAAAGAACTAAATACTACATCTTTCACCTCGGACTAATTTTACTTCACATTTAAATATTCAAAAATGGCCATTAAATAAAAATGCATATCAGTGAAAGTATTTGGAAGTGCAACTTGAAAAGTTGCTAGTGAAAGAAAGCCACTAGCTTTTACAACTGGCACAGTGGTTTCAGAATGTTATTTGCAACAGCACAACAATTTATTTTGGGGAACTGGTGTATATTAATCAGTTGGAGAAACAACAGCTTTTGCAAAATTACAACTATTAACTTATACAGTTTTATGAGAAAATGTATTCTCTGTATCGAATTTGGCAACCAAATAAGGAAATAGATGGCTACTTGCATATTAGTGCAGTTTCACAGTTTTTTTATATATAAAAAAAGATATTATATGGTTGCATATTATGCATTTTAATTAGGTTTTTATCCTGAAAATTGATTAAAAAAATCTACTTACAAGCAAATTTTGTTTCTTTTGTCCTGGTAGAAATTTTGTGGAGAGTGTTTTTAGAATGTATTCTAAGCTATTTTAGCAAATTTATGATAAAATACTATATCCCTACTGAAATTCTCCCATTGGTGGCTAATCCCACAAGTGTATACTTTAAAATTGAGTTTAAAGTAAAAAATAACATTATTTGTTTATAAAAACAGTTAGAATTTAGAATGCATAATTGCTTGTTAAAACCAAAGAACTGTCATGTGCATGGTTGCAATAGTTGACACATTTGAAAATTTGACAGCTTCTTCTACAGTGGTTGTGTTAATGCTCAAGTACCATTAGATGGTCATGTAAAAATTGTAGACTGTATAAAAATCTGTTCATATGGGAAGAAAAAAAAAAAAAAAAAAGCCGAGATATCTCTTCCACAATACTGGGTATTTGCTGAGTATATCAAGAAATTAGTAAATGAATTCTTTCTAATAGAGAAGGAAAGAGACACGAGACAAAAATCATCAGCTGTATACAAGAAGTATCGATGATTTACCTCAAACTGTTAGGGAGCAAATAAATAGAGGAATTGGCAAAAGCAGTTAGAGACATTTTAGTATGAACCAGAAATTTCATTTTGTTGATACAACAACAGTTGCTGTCACTCAAAATGTTGTAAGAGTGGCCCTTGGATAAGGAGCAAAATTCCTTAGTGTGAGAAAATGAGTCTCGTGATATTAAAAGTAATTGCTAAAACATGGCAGCCACAAAGCATATGCATGAAGTAGTAATTAACTAGGTGATAATCCTGGTGTCAATGGGGCATTTAGAAAAGGGAGGCCGTTATAGTAGGGGAGTACTAAACAATATTTTTTCCCCTTATAGGTTAAATTTTTTTTTAGTGTGGTGCTATCTCATATTTTGCTTCCTAATAAATATCAGATAATGATGATTTAACTAAGAAATGTGTGGCGTATTAAAAGAAGAGCTAGTAAAATAACTTTAATAGTGATTTTACATGAATCAGTTAAGTTTGTTATAAAATATTTATAAGCAGATATAAAAAATAAAGATGCGTAGTGACTATCACATTGGTGCAGTGGCACCTCAGGTCCAGGGTGTAATCTCCATGCTGGGCAAGGTTGAATCACCCTTTTATCCTTTGAATGGGTCAACAAAATGAGGACCAACTTCACTTGGGGACTAAACACAGGGGAACTGACCACTTGTCCAGGGTGTATGCTTATGCACCCCGGAGCCTAGGGTCAGGAAAGCAGATATCAGGGCACTGCAGGCCATGGCTCAAACTCTGTTGCGCCACTGGTTTTAGTTTTATAAAAAAATGAAAGCTAATTTATCTAAAAAGCTTTTACTGTTGGTAAATTGGATTTTCTTGAAGCTTTTCACATTCACAATGTTTATCTTGTTTAGATAATGGCTTAAATTTTAATCCAGTCCTGTCTAATGCTTTTAAAAATCTATGAATTTAATTTTTCAATTTTATTTGCTATTTCTGCCAAAAGATGGCACTACTTTCTTCTCATTCTCTTTACTCTTGTAGGGCATAAATACAACCACGACTTTCCCTTTGCTGCTGATAAAGAGGAACCTGTACCTGTTTGCCCTCGAAATTGATAGAGTTTTTGACTAAATCTACACCAAAAACAAAATTGTTGTTTTACTAATTTTATAAAGGCTGCTAAATTTTTCAGAAGTAATTAAATACTTCTGCAGAAAACAAACCTCTTTCACCTATGTTTAATTTGATTAATAATTTATTTGGCAACATTTGCTTTATTTGTTGACAAAATAGTGTTGGTAACAGGAAATTATAAATCAATATTTTATTAATATTGTTGATGTAAGAGTTCAAAAACTTCTTCCACCTCACCTTAAAAAGATTATCTCAGAACACATGTAATTTTTGGAAGCCATGTTTTCCAATGTATATAACTTTGATACTTTGTTGGTATACTGACCTTCAACAGAAGATACAGTCAAAAGTCGTTAATTCGGACACCCATAATCCGGACAATTCCGTGGCCTTTGATCTCTCAGTTTGGGGGTACGATATGATCAACTTCCTTCCATTCTCGGCATTGACTTGAACAGCGGAAATAACCTATAGAATTAAAGAGGCAGCTTACATGAAAGAATGTTAATAAAGTAAAAAAATATTAAGCTTTTTTTTTTTTTTTGAAATTTTGTAACCTTTATATCATAATTTTCTTTATTTCATAAATTAGGTTCATATTTTTAATTTTATAATTCTGCATGCCATCTTACCAGATTTAAACTGATAATCTATAATCCGGAATCGCCGAAGTCCGGATTAACGACTTTTGACTGTATATTCCTTCCTCCTACTACAGTCAAAAGTCTTTAATCCGGACTTGTCGGGCGATTCCGGATTATTGGTTTTTCTGGATTATAAATCATCAGTTTAAATCTGGTTAGATGGCATGCATGAAATCTAAAATTAAAAATATGAAACTGTAATTTATGAAATCAGGAGCAATTATGATCTAAAGGGTATCAAAATTTACAAAAAAAAGCTTAATATTTATTTGTTTACTTTATTAAACATTTCTTTCAACACGCGCATGGGTAAAGCATACATTACGCATAGTCGAAATTAGAAAATTGCAACCAGAAAACTATTTAATGTGTATTCGTGATATTTATAACGATAAGGAATTTGATTTAAATATTAAGACAGAGGCATAGAGATGAATACTACATTAGTAAGGAATTATAAGCCAAATAAAATGAAAATTTGCCCTGAGATAGGAGAGTGCTGATAGATCAACTTCGGTTCATTGTGCGCCGCAAGTCTTTCCCCCCCCGCAGAGCAGCGTGAAATTGATAAACAGATTTGGAATGGTTAGAGAAACAAAGGATATGCCTATCCATTTTTTGCAGCAATTCCACTTTTTGTTTGGGGGACTTTGAAACATGCTTTCGCTTTGTAGATCCTTTACAGACAGAAATCGAAAATTCTTTTGACATAATCGAAAGTCAAGCTTACTTTTATAAATTGCTCTAACATTCTGAAAAAAAATAAGCAGAAATTAGAAGTAAGGAAAAACGCATCTGAACATAAATGAAATAGATAATTTAGCTTAGCTTATACTGTCCATTATACATTAAACGTAAACGCATTATGCATTTACGCATGCACAGAAAGTTTGTAGTTTTGATGTCCGGATTAAAGACTTTTGACTGTAGTTCTTTCAAAGTATCCCATGAGGTGCTTCACGTATGTAAGTTCCATAAGGAATTTTTCACCATATGAGATAGATCTGAGAGATCAATATGAGTCAGCTGCTTGGTGACTTTAGACGCTAATTGGCATTCTGCTTTTCAGGCTTTTAATCATTACATTTTTTAATGTCACAAACTCCAAAATTCAACAGTTTTCTAGTTAACATATAGATCCGTTGTTTATATTAAATATTAGTGACTTAAATGAAACAACAAATAATGTAATTAATTAATATAAGTGATTTAAATTTTAAATAGATTTCTAACAGTAATTCCATTAAAAGTTTAATATTTTTATCACTTTTCTCACTGATTATATTACTTTCCATTACAGATTATGCCACTGTTAGCTGAAGGCATATGTCCTCAGTTTACCTATTCTATGCTTGAGCAATGTAAAGCTATTGGAATTCGTACTGTTGCAGATTTTGTTTTAAATGACCCAGAAGACTTGGCAATGAAAATTAAAGTCCCTTATAAAGTAAATCTTTTAAATGTAATTTTTAAAATTCTTTTTGTGAAGTAAAAACTTATATTTGCTGAAAGTAAATTGTTAATAAAAAAAATCCTTTTATTGTGATTATTTTTCTTAAATATTTTGCAAAACTGTTTGTTTTGAGGGAATTCTTTTCTGGGTACTTTTCCGTTTTGCCGGCGCAAACGATAAAGTCGCCAATAATGGTACAACTGATGCCAAACGGATTATCTTTGCTGGTAACTTTTTACACCTCATTTTCAAAAGTAGTCACACCATTTCTTATCAGATTGATTGTTTCTTTCAATACTGGCATACAATTGCATAGAATTTTACAAATAGTTAAATTTTATGCCCTAAGACCCAATTAACAATAGAATGCAATTACACCGCTTACCAAAGGAAAAAAGAAAGGCAAAATCAAGGGTTAAATTCATCAATTCGAATGAGAATGCACTAGCGAAGAGTAAGCACTCGGTTTACATAATTTCTGAGTAAGCTATTCGTACGAATTGAAATAATTCTTGCATTTAACTTTTTCCAAATTAAGATTTAACTTGAAATTAATGTAGATAATTACTGAGAGAATTAGATTTTTGTAGCGTTGTTTACGTGAGATGAGATCACTTGGGGTCACGTGATACGAACCGGCAAATCAGGATGTTGAACTATAAAAGCATAGTAAATTCTTAAATTAGTATCTTTTATAAATTTATTGTCTTTTTGCAAAAATTTAAACCATATTAAAATGTTTATGCTTTCAAAATAAAAAAATTCTTAGAATTAACATTTGTTAAAATTTTTTATGTGTATGCTATATGTTGTCGCCAAGAAAGTCTGCTTGGTAAGATCTGTGCTGGTGAAACAGAAAAGTACCCTTTTCTGTATGAATTAACTAAATTTCCAGTCTTATTATATTTGAAACACCTCTTCTCAATTGACTTTTTTTTAATAACAAAAATCGGTAATATAGCCAGCTTTTTACAATTAAACATTAAATGAAACTGAATTTGTTTTGACATCAGCTGCCTGAATTCTAGCTTCTTTTGCGATTAATCTGGCAGTTAAATTTGTTAATGTTTTGTTAGAATTTGGCATTAATTCACAATCATTAATGAAATATTTATATTTATTTGGCAAAGGTACCAAAATTTTAGAATTTATCATCTTTTCATAGGTTTGTTCTTCCAAAGAATTTAATCTATATGACAGGTTTTAAGTTTTACTTATACGGAAGCTACATCCATTCCATAATATTTATTTTTAAAAAGTAATAATAACTTTTAACAAGGTATATTTTGATTGATCATGTTCTCTTTCATATATAAAACACTGTTTATGAAATAAATCTTTTGGACTAGTACTGTTTCATATATGAATAAATCTGTATAAGAAATTATATATTTTTTAGCTTTTGAATCTTTGATGTTTCAAATATTAAAAGTACTTTTTTCTGTTTATGTGCAAATTGCATTTAAAAGTTAATTATTGCACATCAATATTAATTATATAGCATTAATGGTTTGTTATTTAAAAATTCATTCTTATATATTTTATTGCTGAAAAAATGCTGTTGTTTGCATTTGACAGGTTAGCAGTTCTGGGGTTTCTTCTAAAGTTAATAGTCTTCCACAGTAAATGATTTAATCTTTTATTTTTTCTCAAACTGAATAAAAACTGATATTTTCTGACAAGTAACATTCCTATCTCCAGTGAATGATATATCACACAGAAAAAACTATTTACTGACTGATATTTGTTATGTGTTCTTTTGGGGGAGGGGGAAGTGTATCCACGTATGTATACGAACATTTTTTATGAAAGTTCCCTCTAATTTTGTCCATTCCCTATGTCAGAGATCTCTTAACTTTTTTGATTGTGTACCCTTAAGATGAAAATAGTTATAAGTTGTACTCCATATAAGATAACATAATGTATATACATAATGTGAAATTATGTTATATCACAGACAAAGAGAGGAATTTCTTCTTGAACATTCAGAAGTAGCTTCCCTCCATAAGGCAGGGTGCTTTTCTTCCTGTATTTCTGTGTGCATGTGTTTTAAAGCAGTGCATTTATGATGTTGAGCTCCCAGATGCCAATGAAACCAGACATAGCAATCAATGAGAGAACCTTGCCTTAACATGATACACAATCGTACACTTGCAGGTGATTGTGAGCCTATGTTTTGGCGTACCTCCAAGTATTACTTCGCATACCGCCACTTTGGAGACTACTGCTCTATGTATATATTTATATACAAAACAATATTTAAAAAAAGATATTAAAATATGCATATTTGTATTCATCATTAAAATATTTAAAGAAAGTGAATGAAAGGTTATGCGAGTATAATTATTTTTGCAAATATCTTGAACTCAAAATCTTTAAATTTATTTTTGCGAAAAATGTACATTTTGTGATATTGTTAATATGTTTGTGAACTTTAACAGCAATCTTGATTGATATTCGAACTGTTTTGAAATACCCATATATATATATATATATATATTTTCTATTTCAATAGGATATCATAGGCATTCAGCGTCTTTTAATGATTGATTATGCTTCGTTTCCACAAAGTGCTGATAGTCTGTATAATGAATATATTGAAACTATGTCACTTCTCAGTACTGGATCAAAAAGGTAACTATTCCACACAAGAAAATATCATTCAATATGATTAATGTGCTCTGAATGAAATTATGTTAATCAAGTATAATTAACAATAAAACTATTACTATTAATCTATTGGTGTATGTAAATTTAAAGGGGGAAGTTATAAGCTAATGTAGGCTGTAAAGCATTTAATGTTAATAAAAATTAAATTTAATATTTAAACATTTTTGGAGGTTACTTTGTTACAATATTAAATAAAGATTTAATATATCTGGATTTTTCATCTTGTCATCTAATTTATAATTTTGGCCAACTTAAGCCAGGGCTGTTCTTAAGGATTGGCTGCCCATGTACTTTCCTAGGATTGCTGCCATCAAATTAAAAAAAAAAATTTCAATGATTAATCAAATTTTGGCTAATCTTTGGAATATGGTAACAGGTAGTTTGGCGACATTTCGGTAAGGCGATAAAGGTTACTAGCTAGGACTTTAGCAGTGTACATGCATAAAGTTAAGAGTGTGTGCAATGCCATTTTTGTGCAATTCTGAGATGTTTTTTTAAGTGAAAATATGTTGATGTGTACATGGATACCATGTATGTGCAATTCTTAAAAATGAGGCAAGCAGTGGGCGATTCTGCCCTTTCTCCCAATTTCACACCTAATCTTCGTCATGTTTAAGCACTTTTGTTCCATAAAAGTTCTAGCATAAGCGTAATTCGGCTAGCAGATTGTTGGAAAAAAATGTATAGTTAAAAAAAAAAAAAAAAAAATCCTTTACTTCATAAAAACAAAATGGCATCCAAAAAAAAAAAAAATCTAGCAGGTTGCTGTAGCAGGGTTGGTCACCAAATTTTCGCCAAAAAGTCGCCAAGTTACCATAATCCGAAGATTAACCCAAATTTTTTTATTTCATATACTAACTAAGTATTTACGTATGACAAATTGTATAAAATGTACAAATTGTATAAAATTGTACAAATTATATAAAAAGTACTTGTCATATTGTATAAAAGTAATATGACAAGTACTTTGTAGAGTACCTCACTTTGGAATTCTAAGTTAATGTTGGAAGTGAGGAATCTAAGAACTGATAAGTTCAAATCGCTTGCGTTCGGTGACAAGAAACAACAAGATAGAAGGGTAACTAACCCTTTATTAATCCAATAAGATTTAACAAAACTCCGCCTGGGAGTGTACAAGCAAAGCCCACACTTGGACTTGAACTAAAAAGACTAAGAATTAAACTAAAACTAAGATTAACTAAAGAAGTATAGCCGAAGCTATCAAGGTTCAATTTGAGTTGGCCCCTTAACTTATTTTACTACGAAGCTTAGCAAGGGCCTGAGTACGACCGAGCGTAATAACAGCTTTGAGAGAGAGAGAGTGGCCAAAAAAGCAGACGCGCGTAAATCAGAAACTCTGATTCTCTCTGACTCAGTAAGTAACTTCGTGGTTTAAATACCACTCCTTCTCATTAAATATTCAGCAAATTCCAAAACTACGTTCTGCCGGAAGTAGTAAGTTGAAGTTAAGAATTTGACAGGAAAGCAACTTTAACTTAAAATTTAATTGGTAATAAAATTAACATAATCCTTACAACTTATAATGAATTAAAATATTTAGTCACCGTATTGCGAGAGTCCAGCCACCCCTGATTTTTGCTGCCCGCATACTTTTACCCGCTGCACCCCAGCTGGGAACGGCCCTGGCTTAAGCCTCACATCAGCATCAAAATTTCCTTAGCATAGTGAAATTTAGTTTAATGTCTTTTGCTATTAATATCTTAGTCTGTAATTTAATTTGATTTGAAATTAAATCAAAAAGTGAACTTGAAAGTAGTTTTTTTAGAATAGATGCTGTGTTTTCTTTCTGTGTATTTATTTTCATTTTTATAATTCATGCTTTTTTTTTTTTTTTTCCATTTTTATTGAAATTTGTGGAAAATAAAGAGGAATGGGAGAATTTGTCATTTTGATATAAACATCTAACAGATTTTACTAAAGAAACATATTAATACCTAAAATTAATCTGTCATTCAAGATGAATAATATGTTAATCTTTTATTGAAAAATCACTCTTTGTATATCATGAATATTAATTTCTTATCAGTAATTCATAATTTAAAACAAAGTTATTATTGACAGTAGCAACAGAAAATTTTGCATAATGTTAAGGGAAGAATAAATAATTATTCAGGTTGGAAATAGTATTACTTCGCTCTGTCAGGCTGGTTGATTATTGTGCATAAAGAATTCTCATGAAGCAAGACTTTTCCCATACATTAATTGCATCTAAGGTTCTAAAAATCGTACATGTAGTCAGTAAGCAGTGAGTAGAAACTAGAATTTCAATTTTTTATAAATGAATAGTTTATATAATTTGTTGTCTCTATATATGACATTTTCATTGTACATTAATGGAAATAGAAATTTTGAATGCTAAATGAAAGAACTAGCATTTAATTGCAAATTTGGCTAAATTCTAACTTATCTGGAAGTTTTACCTTTAAGAATTAATGACTCACCCACAAAGAAAAATTAGATCAAAATCTCCAGTTGTCCAGTAGAATATAATAAAATATTCCATCCTTGGTCAAAATAAATTTTTCAGTGTTTAAGCTTTCTTTTGTCTTTTAAACTTCATAACTTTATTTTTCTAACAGAAAACCATCAGACTGCCTGCTATTTCGCCTTTATAACAAAGCATACACTCATTAATAATATTATTTTATTATTCAGTATATCAAAATTATGTACTCTTATAATGCAGTGCTGTGCATTCTGCTATTAAATATATCATTATAATTAGGTTATATCAATGCTGGAACGTGAAAAATATGCACTACCCTTTCCGGCTTTGAACACCGGACCTCACCAGTTATGCATCAAGTATACTTCCAGTTACCAGTGCTTAAATTGCGCCGGAGCCCGGCTCCGGTGCTTCTCGATTTTTAAGATAAATTACAATTTTAGCCAGAGCGCACCGGAGCCCTAAAAGATGAGCTCCGATTCTTTTTAAAAATGACCAATTTAAAGGGGGAAAAAATTTAGAACATTTTAGTTAACAATAAGCAGACTTCCATACTCTATTTCCCTAGAAATAACGACTCAGGAACGTTTCATTTATTAATCCCCTCACTACATGCGGGAAAACTTTCCTTAAGAAGGGCAATAATTCGGGGAATTTGCTTTGGAATGCGTAAATTTCCACCATGCATAGTATAGTATTTGTATTGATGTTACAGTATTATCCACGCAGGAAGGAAAATTTGTGTTCTTAAATGTGCGTTAGTGACAGCGAGTACAATAAGAGTGAAATCTGAGTAATGTCAAGGTGTCCTATACATCGTTTCCCACGTATCACAATGGGGGGAGGCGTAACCAGCAATTTACATCATCTTGGAGTAATCAGGACTCTTTTATCCTGACATACGCTATAATTTATCAGCAGAGAGCGCGGGTCAAGAGAACGTCACTCTCACGAATGGTGCCACCCACTCATATCTCATTCTGTTGCCCGAAATTTATCAGCTATACTTTAAGTATTTAATTTTTGTTGATGATGAAACAACCCCCCGCCTACGATCAGAGCTAAATTGGCCGGATTTGGTCAGTGTTCTAATTTTTTAATAAGTCATAATTCTAGCCGGAACGCACGGCCCTGATAATAAAAGGCTTGTGGCACTTCTCTATGTAATTGAATCATAATTTCAGTGGAAATTTATTATATTTTAAGTATAATTCATTTTGTGATGATAAACAATCACCGCTCCGATAGGACTTGGGCCGGACCAGCCCCCACCTTGGCTCCGATGCTCTAATTTTGTAATAAATCATAATTCTAGCCGGAACGCCGGGAGCCTGATAAGAAGGCGTGGCCCTTTATCTTATGTCCTGAATAATATTTCAGTGGAAATTTATCTCGAAAATTTTATTTAACAGTAACTTATATTAAAAATTGTATTAAATTTAAATTATCTCTTTACATTTTATTCAATTTTAATTATTTAATTACTTCAATCTTTAATTATTTCATTAGCTAATAATTTAAATTAAATTATAATTATTGATTAATAATAATTATAAAACATAGTTACTCTCATAATTAACTATTTAATTTTAAATTATTGATGGTTAATAGTCATTTTATTTATTTACTCTTGTTCCTCTTTGCTGACGGTCTTCCATAGGGCTCCGGCACTTCTCATCTTAGAAATTAAGCCCTGCCAGTTACACCACAAAGACATACATAAAGGGGAAAGAAAATACTTTCTAGATATTAAATACTGCAGAAGCTCCACATCTTCTCAAACAAAATAGTGATGCTTAGTTGAAAACCTTTAGCCTGTATAGACAGCTGCCAAAGATACTTATTATTGGAATATTAGACAGAGAGAATCGTTAATATATTTGAAACATCTGCATTGTGTAACGAGTTGTATTGAAGAATTCACTGACTTACTCTAAATGTTCAAGATATTATTTATTAACTCAATATATTAATGAGCAAACTGCAGCTAAGAGATCAAGGATCAGAAGCTGTAAGAAATTACTAATAATAAAAGAACATAGGAATTTTGAGCAGCCCTTACAGAGAAACAACTAACCATACCAAATGTTCTAACTTTCATAAAAAATACATCTGAAACAGTCATTTTCAATAGTTGCTATTGATTCATATATTTGCTTTATGTAGGACAAATATAGTATTACCACAGAGAAGACTAGCTTATTATAGAGTGAATTTCTCTGGAAATCAGTCAGTGGAAGCATTCAGTAATGGTGTAAATATTATAGGTGATTTTGCTAGTCATCTCTGAAAAGTAAAGCGGTACTGCTTTTTTGTTTCGTTAGTGACTCTCCTTTCCCCACATACAAAGAAATTTGTGAAGAATATCATATTGTACAAATGAGAAATAAAAAGATTTATTAACTTCCATCTATTTTGTGTTAAAGGAAGATTTGATAGGATCTGTGTCTTTTTTTTTTAACATACCTGCATTACTGTATAAGGTATTTTCTCCCTTTTTTTTTTTTTTTTTGCATGCCTTCAAAGAGTATTCGGGAGGTCCAGAATTCAAAACCCATCAAAAGTAATGCAGATTTCTTCAATTCCGTGACTGAAAAATTCTAAAAGAATCAGCAAGTGGCACTCAAACTAAAAGATGGTGGGCGATAATTCATCATCACCAGGATTTCGCAAATCCATGCTCTATAAGATCTTACTTCTTCAAAACTGTAACAGTACGCAACTTATCACTGGGAAAGTGGAGCCATTTAAAAAATTGCATGCACTTCTTAAAAGTATTTTATGTTTCACCTCATTTATATCATATTAGCGTTTAAAAAATATAATGGGCACTCAAACTTTAAATGTTATCCTAAGACAGAGTTTGTTTGTACATGTATGTACTGCATAGTTTAGCGATCTGAAATTCAGATTTTATACAAACCGAATGCTCAGTCTAAAGGCAACTGATAGGCCAGACTACTTTTTATTTGTCAAAACATAGCATAAACAATAAAATTCAGATTCATATTTATTTTCAATCTGAAGTCTAAAGAAAAAAATTTCTATTATGCTTTGCAATTCAAATGTATTGACTGAAAAATGTTAAATTTTAGAAAGGCATTTATTTAAGGTAATTCGAGTAATTTAGAAATTAGATAATTCTTTGTTTTTTTTATTACATAAAACAGAATATGCCTTTTTTCTCCTGCGTTTAGTGTTTATCCCCTCGCCCCAATCTCATTTTTCCACACTACTTTTTACAGTTCATTCTGATTGTCTACACCCCCTGTTGCCAAAATATGTTTATATGCCAACCTAAATATTCATCATATTAATGAAATAAAACTGCTTTCCAAGTTTGATGTTACTTTTTCTGATTAGTATTAATCTTTGCAATTCCTTCTTACAAGAAATTTTAATGATATCGTAGAGTTTGCTAGCTGATGAAAAAGAAAGTATTGCATTTCTTTAGAAATGTGGTTTTTTTAGCCAACAGTAGAAAATGTAGAAATTCGCATTCCATGAGGTTGTACTTCGTAAATGATCAAACTTTATAGAAAAGTAGTGTGAAAAATTGCAAGCAGTGTGTTAGATTATAGGCTGGAAATTAGTTTGAAGATAGCCATATCTTGTTTATAATAGCTATTGGTTTCATTTATTATTGGTCAAAAGAATATACCCCAGTGAAATTTTGTGAATAAAAACTGGAATTATGCGTTATGGTAACCTTGCAACTCGAGAGTATATCAGCAATTCTTGGGTGATTGTATGCATTACCAAGTTTATACAGGAAGCAAATTTGTTTTTTAAGGAAACGTATTGCCATGCATATGGGAGAACAACAGTATCTGCGATGCCACATTTGTGAAGTTCTATGATATTTTCTTAAGTAGAAACAGCTCACTGTATATATGGAGAGAACTATAGTTAAAAAAAAAAAAAAAAAAAAAAAAAAAAAAAAAAATTAAATGAGAATTTCTTGCAGAAAATAACTGCATTATTACAGGTGCTTCTCTTTTTTTTTTTTTTTTTTTTCTTTTAATTTTATTGATTGATTTCTTTCTTTTTCATAGAATTCTTAGTGTGGCACCATTTTGAAAATAGCTGTTATCTTTCTTCTATTAGCTTATTGAAAAATTAGTCCCCATGGTTGCCAATGTTTTTATAAGGAGGTTTGTGGATTACTTTAAAGTACCCTTTTTACCTTAAGTTTAGTGGATATATCCGGTAGACTCTTATTAGAAAATACATAAATTTTCATAAAGAATTAATTACAGAATTTGATTTATTATTTTTTCCTGTTATAGTACGTATATTTCATTAAATTGCAGTAAAAATAGGATTTTAAAAAATTAGAAGAGAAGCTGCAAATATAATTTAGTGACAAAGAAATGTATTTTTGTCAGTTCTTTCAGATTTAATGTTTTAAATCACAATGCTATACAAAAGTGTATATTTTGTTTCTATGCTTAATTTTTTTAACACGGTTTTATTTAGCTAAGTTTTTTTGCTTGTTGGGTGAAATTTTGCAATCGTTTTTGATTGCTCTTTCTATAGAAACAAGGTACTTAAAATTTTGTGCATATACATTTTTGCAATAAAAATTGAATGTTGCAAAAAAAAAAAAAAAAAAAAAAAAAAAAATTAATCTCATGCAAGTGTTTATTCACTGTTGAATTTTGTTTCATATGTTAAACTATCCTCCAGAATTTAATCTTTGCAAGTAGATAATTGAAAATAATTTCTATGTGATATTTTGGAATGTATTCAATTTTTGCCATTTTATGTACATCTGGCATTTCAGAATATATTTCATGTTTATAGCTATAATATGGCTGTTAGCAAAGATGAATTTTTAAATCAAAAGATGGTAATCTTTTTCTTTTTTAACAGCTGTGTAATTTTAACTTAAGAGATCAGATTTTGAAATTAAACAGAAAATTAATTGTTGAATGTAATCTTGTGCCACTGGAGAGAGTGATAAGCCTTGAAAGAAATGGCATGTCACATTACTTCATTGTCCCTCTAACTAGAAAAAAATTTTTTGTTATCCCCTTCATTCCATTCAAGGGACTAAAATACATAAAATAACATATATAACTTTTTAAGTTACACATTGCACTAAAAAATAAAAAAGTAATTAAAAATATTTAAAAAAAACTTCACAATATTCTTATTTTAAAATAAATATAAAGTAATGAAATCCAAATATAAGAATTTTATTAGAACATTAACCAAATTTCAAGGAACAACAGAAGTTATAGCACTGAAATCACACAAAGAAGGATTACTACATTAATTTTTCTTATATGTCTAACTGACTGTTCTTCATTTAATATTAATTTTTATTAGCAGCTCTATAATTTTAATTGTATCGACAGACAATACATTGTTTTAGTGCATTCTTTTAAAACAGTGGAAGATAAAAAGTATTTATATGTATTATTACTTTTTATGTCTATGAAAAAATGTATTTTTTCTTGTGTGAAGAATTAGTGTACTGCTAGTGTAACATATATGCAATATTCTGTGCTCTTCCAAAGTCCTATTAAAAATCATATGAAAAAATTAGTATCATTGGAATAGTAAAGTATTGAAAATAACTGTAAGTTAGCCATTGCATATTTATATTGTTTTAATGTATGCCTATTTTGCAATTATATATTAAATTGTAAAATGATATATTTAAGTTTTCCGAAATTTTTATTACAGAGTAGATAAATTTTTGTTGGGGGGAATTTATTCTGGTGAAGTTACTGAAGCTCATGGCCCACCAGGCTCTGGGAAATCTCAGGTATTATAAAAATTACTTTTTTTATACAAGTGCTTATATATTTATAAAAATATACATATGTAATTTATATATTTGAAGGTTCTGGCAAAAAGCAAAAATTAAGGAAGTTGCATACCTAATGCTACATACTATATTTTCATTTTTTTATAAAATGATTCTTATAATGAAAATGAGAGGAACATCTGGTCATTATGGTCTGTTTTTGGAATTAATTGTATGTTTGTGTACATAAATAGGGCAGTAATTTTATTGTAAAAAGGAAAGGCTAAAATTTGGGAGGTGATGGAAAAAAAAAAAGTCATGAGACTTTTTTTATGTATTTTGTTTTAAAAATTACTTTGTTGTAAAGGAATTATCTCTTTCAAGGAAAAACTGAATTTATTAATCTTTATGATTAAATAATAAAAAATCTATATGTATGTTCCTTGCATTGTGGGAAATCACCATCACCTAGAGGCACCAAATTTTGAATTTGTTTATTATTTTTCATATTTTGTATAAATTTGATAATTTTTTTAATTAAAAATCTTGGTGATTTAAAAATAAGCAGCAGCATTGTTCAAAATAAAACATTCTTATCTCCAGCACACCAGGCTGTTCCCATTTGGCAAAATGTAATATCTTTCAGTTTTAATCTATAAACTCAGCTATTTAAAAGCAGTGTGTTGCCTGAAATAAAATACTTTTTTTTCTTTCAGCTCATTCATTTTTATCTCAGAATGCATAGAATGTAATTAATGGGGGAAAAAAACCTAACAATTACAAATTTAAATATAATAGGAAACTGGTTTTTGTAAAATTTACAAAAATCATCTAAAATACATAAAAATTTACACTGTGATAAATTTACTGCCCTGCCTATAAATCTATGTATATGAAGTATGTATGTGTATACATATAAATGTGTATGTGTCTTCGTATTCACATATGTTTTTTATCTTTCAGTTCTGTTTCAGTATTCTGTCTAATTTGATTTGCAAGACCAAAAATACTGTACTGTATTTGGATTCTGGTTCTAATTTTAATGCTAAACGGATTGAGCAGATTTTAATGAAGAAATTGAATGAAGCTGAGGTAAAAGTATTGTATCTTCTAGTAAGGAATGCATCAAAATTTCTTATGGAAAATATATTACTTTTTAAAGAGAAAAATTTTAGTTATAGTTTTAATTAATTGTTAGGGTATTATGCATCTGATCTTATTTAAAATAAACTAATAATCCATATGAGATAAATCATAATGAGGTATATCCTGTTAATTATTTTTAAAATACAAATTAGGGTAATAATAACAAAGATTTTTTATTTTATGTTTACACAAATTTTTTTAGATTTTGTATTAGGAAATAAAGCTTTGATTTTATTATAAGTTTTTCAAACTGAAGAATTTCAAATTTTGTGAATATTAAATTAAGTATGCTCAGCTGATTATTTATTATTTATACTGAGCTGATTTATCCCATCTTTGTTAATCTGATTTCTGTCTTGAGTTACAAAATTAGGTGATAATGACAGTCACTTCTTAAAAGGGTAAAAATGGAGGCTATGACATAGGGACATACTTTTCAAAAAATTATATATAATAGTTATGCGTTCTAAAATTCTTAAATCATGTTATAAAGCTTAAATACAAGTATATGAAAACTATCACATTGTTATTTTGCGATCTCGTTCATTATTTTAGGGTGTGCTGAGTATTAATTAATTGAATACATCAATTTATCTTGAATTTTATTGAAATTATGAAATGTGTAAAATATTTTAGTTCTTCTCCCCCCCCCCCGGAAAAAAAATCATAATATGTAGTAAAACCATGGCTGTGTTTTAAAAACTTTTGTGTAGAATGTCAAAAATAATCTATTATTGTACAATTGTATTATATTCATTTATTTGTACTCATTGTTATTTTTGCTTTATTAGACTGTTCCTGATAAGCTGAAAAATGTGAGAATTGTAAATGTCTATGATATTTATAATCTTTTCGATTGCTTGGATGATATAAAGCGCAAATTATCTGAAAAGGTAATTTTAAAATCTTTGTGTAATTTAGCCATTTGATTTTTTTTTAAATCCTAATTTAATATGAAACACTTATTTCATTTTCTTGTCAAATAATATCAGTTCTTTACACAATTAAGTATAATTTTTTTAATGTTTCTCTAAAAGAAAGGAAGAAATATTCATTCCTACAATCTAAAAGAAAGGAAAGAATAAAAGAAATATTCATTCCTACAATCATAAGAGATAGATTTGCTTTCTATTTCACAGCTGCTTAATTTTTTGACTAAAAATAATAATGATACCATGAAAGTCCTTACTAAATAAAATATCATATAACATAAAAATATGGTGTGTAAGTTAATAGTTGAAAGTTGTAGTCCAGTTTATATGTAATCATATGATTTTAAAAGTATGCGCCACTTTCAAAGTCTTGATATTGGTAACTTGATATGCCATAATTTAGTGATATCATGTGAATAGTCATTTTTATGTCCTCGGTTTGGTTGTGCACAAGACTTTGTTGGATAAGCACGTGTATTATATTATTGTCATATCCAATGCATGACTGAACAAGTAGATTAGTGAACTGCAAATTGAGTGGTACCTACAGTTTTATATAGACCTACTCATTACTTCCTTTTTAATCCTTCAAGTGTTTTCCGCAAATAAATATCAATGTTTAAAAAAAATCAGTTTACTAATCTACTAGTTCTTAAAATGTATACACCAATTATATGTTGCAGGTGGATTACTCAGGCGCAGTCATTGCCTGTAATTCTGTGTTAAAATGACCATTCCTGTGTATCGCTCCTAATTTTCCTTTTTCAGAGACAAATTGCAAGACCATATGAATGGTTCCATGATATTCAAAGTATCTGAATACTTCCTGGAAAGATATATTTAATTCATAAAAGTTTTGTTATTTTAATTATTACTAAGAGTATGGTTTAGAATTTGTAACAATCATTTAAAAGTATGATTAGTAATTACTGATGTACAGTCAAATTACTGAATTGTTTATGATTAGCAATTACTGATATACAGTCAAAATCGACTTTAACAGTCTTCAGGGAACCAGAAGTTTGGTTCACTCTATCCAATGATATAAGTAAAATAGATTATCTAACAAAAATAGGTAAAATTTAAAAAGAAAAAAACTGATTAACATTGTTACATCCACGTAAAGAATTAAATAATAAATCTAAATTTTTAAAAATAACATTAAGATTTACTTACAGTTATTAAATTTGCTGCTGTTCTTTTCCACTTTCACTATACATTAATAATTTTACATGATAAATTACTTAGTATAACTATCATGATTCTGATCATTCCCTCGAATTACACATTTATGACTGTAAATACTTATTTTATGCATAAAAGTGTAGAAAATTTTTAAAAAATAGTAAAAAATATTAATGAATTGACCCTAAATTTTCACTGAATCTGAATACCAAAATAATATATAATTTTCTGCTCCCATTATGCAGGTTGCAGGAAAATTTTATCCATATTTTCATCAAAAATTGAATAGATTCCATCACTTTTAAGCCCAACAATTTGTGTGATTAAAAGCTTATTAATGAAACATATCTGATGTGGTAGAGAGTTTGCTTTCCATGTGTTGCGTTTCCTCAACATTTTCATTATCATCAGACGAAGCATCCTTGGTGTTAGCATTTTCCATTTTAATTTCTGTCAAAATATCTTCTTATGTGATGATATCATGGTATAGTTTGAAAACTCCATGTATCTTATCCAATATCCAATGAGAAAGCAATCATTTTCCCTAAGACATGTTTATCTTTATAAAGAATGTGCTTTTCTTGCAGAAGACCTAAAGAATGTGAAACCCTTTCAGAGGACAAAACTTAAAGAGCATTTGTGCTCTGACAAAACAATAATGATCAAAATTTCATTTCTGAGAGGCACATCAAGTATATACTCCAAGCTCCAAAATTCACTTCTTCCTCTTCCCCTAAATATAAGAATTTAAAATTTTTATCATAGCATCAGTCTTGAACAGAGAATTCAATCAAAACATTTGAGTGAATCAGAGAATCTGTTCACATACCATTGTTCAGTAGCCATACACACTATATGATATCTTAAAATATGCTTATCATGTCCTCTTTCTCATAGAATTAAACTCACATGTTCTGTTAGAGCTTTGTTTAGAACACAGAGAAAAGTGGGATGAAAATAAAATAAAGTATTATAAAGGTTTTTCCTTAATGTCCAAACATGGATGATTTTAAAGGTTACTAATTTTTTCTTTAACCCTCTGAGTGACGAGGTTTTTCGCTAAGAAAGCACAAATTTCCCAAAACTGCTATGAGAACGAATTATTTTTTTGATTTTAATGTAAAAACTCTCCTGGTATTTCATACCTGGATTTCTGTACTTTTGATATATTGCCTTAATTTTTAATTAATATTTTAATATGCATGTATATATACGTTCTTACAGATATCACAAAAAATATTCTAAGCCATATATATATGGCCTTGCCGCTTAGAGAGTTAAAACTTGCCAAAATTCTGAAAAAAATATTTTAAAAAATTCAGTTGAAAATATTTTTGCAATTTATTATATCTGATTTTCATACTTTTGGAGTATGTTATGGCATAGTTTTTAGAATATAGTTTTTAGAAAATTGGATAGGACCGAAAAGTTTGCTATTATGTTGAAGTTGGACTGTAGTTTCATTAATTAGAAAAATTATGTTATTATAATCAAGCAGGCATTCTAGTTTATTCCTAAAAATGCCAAACACCATATATTATTCAAAAATAATCTTTACAGTATTTAGGGAATATATGATGAAGTATCAACATTTTACCTATGCAGATTTTTTTATTTTCATACAGTAATACATACATTAAACTGTTACTGCATAATATTGCTTTAATAAAAGAAGTTCTTCTATGAAGGATTTTCTGGAGAAATTGGTTCAGATTCATTTTTACACTTGGAAAGAACCTTATAAACCAAGAATTGAAGATGAATGAAATATTGATGTGCAATGATGATCTACTCAACCACTGGGAGCTACTTTTTCATGGGAATTTATTTGTTTATGTACATTAAAATCAATTGCACTTACATTTTTTATCATACTAGAGTATGTTCAATTTCAGATAATAAAAGTAGTTAATTTTTTACTTAAAAAATAAATTTATAGCCAAGAATAGAAACTGCTTCTGAAGGAATATATGACTACAAGGTAGTCGTAAACAGAATACTCTGTTTTACAAGCACATTAGTATATGTTTTTTAGGAAACATTCTATGTTGATGTATAAGATTTGTGTAATGTTGCTATGTTCAAAAATTTCAAAAGAAAGACAAGTATAGCAGTTTATGTATTTATTTATTTTTATTATTTATTTATTTATTTATTTTTTGGTGTGTATGTGTGTGTAAAAAAAATATTCTTTAATTGTTGTTGGCATACATTGGAACTTACTCACTTGTCATTCATAGAATCAGTGGAAGAATGACTCTTTTATTTATTATCATTCACTTGGTGTTCTCACCATTTTGGATAGCTTGAATTAAAAGTTAACTTTACAGAACCATCCTAATAAGAGAGAACATTGAGACTAGAAGGTAAAAAATATGGCAAATAAAGAATCGGATCAAAGAAGTCTAAACCTCTTTGTTCAAATTGCAACATCACTCTGATTTGTTGAAAGCAATTGCATGAGAGTCCAAACTATGTTGGTCCAGATGCTGTCACTTCATATACAATATAGAGAGTACACTAAAGTTTTCCGACAGTGCGATTAAGATTTTACAGTTTTCATGCAAGACTTCTCTGTGAACTTTTTCAATGTAGGAGTATTCTTTTTATAAGACATAGCTACAAACCTGTGTTGAGTGGAAATATTATTATCTACATGTGTAAAAATACAGTTATCAAGAAATTTTAAAGCACTCCAAATTTAGATTTATAACATTTTTTTAGAAAATATTGTAAATGTATGGTTAATGAAAAACTTATAATAAAATAATAATAATGCATTTAAAAGACCAATATGATATTGGATTGTCAATATGATTATTGAATTTACTATTCCACTTTTGAGTACTTTAATACCTCAAATATGATTTAAGCTTCCTGATTATAAAGCTGATTAACTGTTTGAAAGAATGTTTATATTTTAGCTTAGTAATGTGTGTGTTTATTTCTTATATGATTTTTTAATGGAGTTTATTTAAATAATGATTTCTGTTGCAGGAAGACCATTTCTATAAATATCTGAAAGTACTAATTATTGATTCCATAACTCCATTACTTGCTCCTTGTTTTGGAGGGAAAATTTTAGATGGTCCAGGATTGATGAACAATGTTGCCCAACAATTTAGAACTTTATGTTGTGAACATATGTTGTCTATTATAGTAAGATAATCCATATTTATTTTTTGCTTGTATATTTTAATTTTTTTTACAGCCATTTTGAGAAAATTTTACATTTTGAGTTATATTTTTATAACATATATTATCTCAACATTTCTAAAACAGTTTAGAGCTCTTAAAGCAGCTTAAAGTTTCTAAGAATTGAATTTATTTTGTTCTGATATTAAAAAGCTGGATTTTTTTATTGATTATGTGTATGGAGTAGTCTGATTTATTTTGATGTGTTTATATATTAGCATATTTCCTTACATATTTTTATCCCTACCTTTCTAATACCATGTTCTGAAAATTTTAAAAATATTCCAGTAATATCCCTTTTTGTCGATGCATTCCAAGAATGAGGCAAATATTTCCTTTCTGACTGTTCAACTTTATGCCAGCCCAATACAAGAACTGTGATCACAGTGAAGCAAACACAGATTGACATTCAGTTTACATTTTTGCTCAGTTACATATTTACCTTCTCTAAATATTTATAGATGATTTGAGGCTTAAGGAGTAGCAGAGACTTCTGTTTATGTTATTTTATCATTTTCTTAGTTGTATTGATACAGGATGATTCAAAAGTATCTGTCACAGTTTAAAAGCAGATAGAGGGAATGAAAAAGAGATTTTGTAATGGAACGCATGGGCCAAAATGGTACAATGCATTGGAATGGTGTAGAATGTTGCTGAGTGGTATGTAAAAGCAATCTCCTAGCATAAATTATCAAGGATAAGTAATTTTTAAATCATAACTTGCAAAAATTGTGGAAAAAATATAAAAAAAGTTTAAGCCAAAGATATACTTAAAGTTCATTGTATCTGATACCCCTCAGACGTGATAGAGGTTAGGGGAGCCTACTGCAGTACCAAAAAGCCCAGGTTCAGGAGAAATCATGGATGTTTGTAAATGTATAGTGTCTTTGCAGCATGGGGGCACCCTAAATATATGGCGAGCCAAAAGTTTTTTTGTGTGGCTTGGAGGTAGGGAAGAGGGGTAGGAAACCTTCAAACCTTCCCCCCCCTCCCGGGGTAATCTCCCTAAAAATTGGAGTGGAAAGTGGAAGTCCAACCATTCTTCCATGAAATACATGGATAAGCTTATATCTGATTTGTATACAGTTGGAGGATCATTATAGCTGTATAAAATAACAGTAAATGTATACCGATTTAGATGAGACCAAAAAGTTTGTTCACTACATTTTTGGGTGTTCATATATGAGTCAAGTCTGTTATACGTAAGAGTATGTGTGTTTTTAAGTAACATTCGTATGTCTCCATGAGCACTATACAGTTGGAGGATCATTATAGCTGTATAAAATAACAGTAAATGTATACCGATTTAGATGAGACCAAAAAGTTTGGATATTATTTATACCCTTTGGGTATTATTTATATACCCTTTGGATATTATTTATATTCAGCTGTGTGTTTTTAAGTAACATTCGTATGTCTCCATGAGCACTATACAGTTGGAGGATCATTATAGCTGTATAAAATAACAGTAAATGTATACCGATTTAGATGAGACCAAAAAGTTTGTTCACTACATTTTTGGGTGTTCACATATGAGTCAAGTCTGTTATACATAAGAGTATGTGTGTTTTTAAGTAACATTCGTATGTCTCCATGAGCACTAATTTCCAGTCTTTTTGTTAAGACTCGTAACTGCACTAAATCCACTTTCTACAGGAAGTTACAAAAAAGCAATCAACAGCTTTACTACAGTGATCTGTAATACAGACGATAAAATTTGTATCAGTTTTTGTAAACGGAATTTGTGGTATCCTTGTTCAACATTGGCTTCAGCTCCTTATGTATCCATAATTCAATACATTGTTCCTGTGATTGTATAGTTTCATCTGAGTTTGTGGGTCTACTTGCACCCAATCAGGAATAACCAAGTGAAGAATGTCTTCAAATTTTTGTCTGAGGTCAGAATGTTACAGCCATTAAGTATTGACAATAAACAAAGAAATCTTCATTTCATTTTTGAATTTTGAAAAATTTGGAAACTTAGCATTCTCTTCTGTGCAAGTTCTATTTGTACAGAAGAAGTTTTGCTATAAACACGGATATTTTAGTTTTGATTAAAGTTAATTGATCAACTTATAGCTTCTAACTGATTTTGCTAAATTTGGCAAATAAGTTAATATAATAAAATAAGTTAGTTATATAATCTAAGTAATTTTTAATTAATTAAATTGACCCGCAAATCATTGTCTTCAATTTTTGGGAATTCTAATACTGAATCAAAGAGCGCATAAAATCAATCCAAATATGCACTTTTAGATACCCAATGAATTTCCATGTTATGTAATAAACATTTCTAATCTTCATGATTTTCCAAAGTTGAAAAATAATCTGTCATTTAAGGCATTCCTTTCGATTTAGTAAACTGCTGTAATGATATAATCTAGTAAGCCATGCAAGGGTTTGCTAAGCTTTCTTTGAACTAAATGTTGTTGATGAATGACTTAGCCTGTTAATCGCCTTTTTTTCACGAACGCCTGCCGACCGATAGCCTATTAATTGCTTTTTTTGGGGGGGTCTACCTAAAAATAGCCTATCAATTGCTAGACATGGCAATAAACAATTGCCATTTGCTATATTGGCTGCATTTCATTATTAGTATTGAGGTACATTGCTCACTTGCGTTAAATGCGGTACTTCGTAAACTCCCACGTTTTCACACCGTTTTTAAAAAATTTACCGTTCATGATGAGAAAATGGTTCTGGAGAGTTTTATAAGACAATTTATCAGAGTGATTTGACAGTTATTCAGGAAGGTTAAGTGTTGGCAGCGAGAGTCTGCAGCCAATCGGACGTGTGTATGCTGTTGAACCGGTAGCGGTCGGTGAAGTGTTAAATATGGCAGGTGGCCTTGTTTTGTCATTCTCTCATTGCTGAAGCACCATCAGTAACAAGAGGGAGGATATTCTCAAGGGTTTTGCACCCAAAAATTTTCTTTCACACCCAAAAATCTTCTGAATTCATTAAATATTGCATCACCTTTTATATCAGTTTCCAAGCGTTTGACAAGTAACAATTCTTGGGAAATCTGTCCTTTTACAAATCTAGCATAAGTTAATTTATGTGAGATTTGTTTCCTGGCAAAGTTGGCTTATTAAGCTGATTTCGGATGTTTTTAAGAATTCACATAGAGAATTTTCTGTACACCAAACTATTTCATCAATCCTTCTTTGTACTATTATCTAGTGGAGTTATTTTTAAGGTCATCACAGATTCAAAACATTTTGGAAAAACAATAATGTGGGACAATTTTTCTTTTTTGCCAGATGCATCCAATCACCGCATATTACTTGGGGGGTTACCATGTAAAGAGAATACTAGTTCTCCATCATAATCAATATATGATGATTGACAACCAGGGATTTAATGCTAATAGCTGATTGGTTGTTGAATAGAAAAGTGACTTTCCAGTTTTGCAGTCAATAAAGAAATGTTATAAGAACCACACGGTCCTTCATCATCTCACTTAAATGTTGTTGCAATTAATGTTGTTGTCAAGTGTTTTTCTTTAACTGTTTGTAAAAAAATTTAATCTTTAAAGAAAGTATCTTTTGAAAGAAGTTAAATCTTTTTGTTACTAGGCTTGTTTCAAATGTTGCTTAATCATCATTGATTCGTTTGGCAAAGTTTTGTTGAATAAGGAACATAGGTTAGGTAAAATACTATATCCTGGTAATAGAATAAAACAATGTTTTAAATATTCAGCACTATATTGTCTGTGTTTTTTCTTCAGCTGACTCATGCATAAAAAAAGAACATGATTTGTTTTATTTTACTCAGAATATAAAATTGCTTCATTTTTATTTATTGCTATTTATTTTAACTTTCATAATAATGAAAAAAGTCACTTATTTTATACTAAACAATTTGCGAACCCCCTCCAATATTGTCTGCACAGCCTAAATTTAATTTTAATTTGCCACAGACCCCTCAACAGTCATAAGGCACCCTGAAGGTTTGTAAGAATAACTAAGGGAACCACTGATGTAGAAATATGTAGATCTGTTATCTGACACAGTCTTTAAATATTCAGGTGTTTCGTATGAATGTACATTTCTATGAGATTAAGATTTTTATGAATTATTAGTATACTGAAAATTAAATGTCTAAAGTTATGTTTTTATTAGCATAGCAATTATTTTATGTATCACAGTTTAAAACAAAAATAATGAAATATTTATTGAGAGGAATTGTGAACTGCAGTTCTACCATAAATTGTGTTTGATAAAATGGTATATGTATATTTCAGGTTTGCAATAATACTGTTAAGGATAAAAACTGTAGTATAAAACCTGCTTTAGGGCCAAATTGGAAATATGTGCCATCAGTGTCACTATGTTTGCATAAAGTGAATGCTACCAATCTGAGAAGAATGACCGCTGTAAAAAGTTGCCGAAGGGTAAGTTTTTCAAATGTGTTTTTAATGAATAAAAAAATTAATTTAATGAAATAATTATTTAATAAATTTAATAAAAATTACAAAATGCAAACTGGCCTGAAACTTAAGGTAGAATAAGATATCCTATACCATGTTGCAATTCTTCCAACAGCCAATGCTGCAAATGATCCTTTTTTAGCTTTGATGCAAGGATGTATTTTTCTTATTGTCAGAGACTAATTGCATGATGGGAAATAGGATCTGTTCAATAATAGGAGTGTATATTCCTTTGCAGAATAAATACAGGATATGGTTCTTCCATATACAATAATATATAAAGTAAATTTTAAACATCATCGAAATAAGATTACTTTAAGAATTTTTTTTTTTTTTTAGTCCACTGGGGCTTTGTTCCTAAAGGACTATTGTTCTCATTTTGAGATTTTGCATCAGAACCCTATAAACAATGTATCACTTTTCAAATTATTGCCACCAAATACTATCACCTTGTATTATATTTGAAGAAATAGAATAATGAATTTGCATAAAAAATCTGTCTGTTTCTCGCATTGTAATTAACCCCTTAACTGCCGCGGGCGTATATATACGCCTTGCTCAGCCGATGCGTTAACTGCCCCCCAGATGCGCAGCCGATGCGTTAACTTTGCGAATAATTTTAGGTGTAGCAGCACAAAGCAAATGATAGCAGTTTGGAAGGACGTATATATACGCCTGGGGCAGTTAACGCATCGGCTGAGCAAGGCGTATATATACGCCCGCGGCAGTTAAGGGGTTAAACAATGGTACCTAGAGCCATCCAATTTTGAATGATGTAATCTTACTGCGAATATAGGCATCTGAAAGCCCAAATTTTAAATTTGGAATTTGTTTTGTTATCGATTTCATATTTTGTAAAACTTTAACGAATTTTTGATTAAAAAACTAAGCATTTTAAAAGCGAGCAATGCCAACACTCTGCCCGGGGAGGGGGAATTTTTTTGTCTCCAGGGCGAAAAACTGTGTATCGGAAATTCTAAAGATACGCTCATTTTAAAATTATTTTGTGACATTGCTGTTGAACTGAATTTTATGGTTTAAGTCCAAAGGACATGATATTTAATAAATAAAGGTAACATACAAGATGTTAAAAAAATGCTCCTTTGGATGTAATTTAAAATCTATAACCTTTCAGGGTTTTTTTTTATTTTTTTTTTTATTTTTTTTTTTTATTCTCTTCTAAGCTTAAAAGTTCTAAATAGTATTATGTGAGTTAATACAGTACAGAGTCTAAGTTCCAGACTCATCAGGACTTTGCAGTTTCTGAATTTTAGGTAATGAATTTAAATCTAGTAAGATGATGTATAGAAATTGTAAAAATATGAAATAATGAAACGCTTATGACCTTCACGGAATCAAAATCTGCCAAAAAATTATCAGTATTTTTTGTTTGCCTTATAAAAAATTTCTCTCGGTGTAAGTTGTTTAAGTTGCTTCATTTTCTGTGCTAATACTTTCTCTTTAATCTTAGAAAAGGCATCATTTCTAGTTCAGTTACAAAGTTCCATTGTTCAAGTTCTGTAATTGCCAAGTTGAGAATTCCCACAAAATTGTCAATCAAAATTTTTTTTGTTTTCAGCAATCTGTTAGTGATAGTAATATTTTCTGGATTTAGAACCATACTGCAGATTTCACCATTCATTAGATGAATGATAATTAGAGCATTGTCATTACAAAGGAAATCATCTATTATACCATCTTTGTGTATTATCACTTCTCCACAAATTCCAGAATTTTCCTTTTTGTTTGCGATGTTCGTGGCTGTCATCATAAAGCTTAGCTATACATTATTCCCGATGTATCATGAGATTGGTGATTAGAGACATGTTGATCTGCTGAATTTTGTCTTGTTTCTGTCACATACTGAAGCTAGCTTAGTTATTTACTGTACTTGCATCTAGCTTTTGGCTTATGTGTGTACAAATTCCTGAAAATAAATACATTGTTATACATTCCTAAGGCTTATGTGGACAATAAATCAGTTATTCTTAATTCATACACCACTAATAATCTTTTGGTTTTATGAATATCATTTACAAAATCTATTTTTTGCATATGGAAAGAAGTTTCTGATAAATTTCTTCTCATTAACATGCTCATCTCTTAGCAAAGCAATTGGCTAAAACTTGTAATCTTTGCTAAACGTAATGTCAACGTGGAAGGTTACCACACTATTTAGTATTCAGTTACTAATAAGTTTAAAAAAATATTTTAGATATTATTGTGTGAGTCATTTCTCAAGCTGCCATCAGCTGGTAGTCATCTGGTAATGAAAACAAAAAATAATAATAAAATTTACCAGGTTGGTATTAGGGTTATATGTTATTTGGTATGCATAAAATCAGCGATTAACTTTGGTAGAATGTTTCAATTTGAGATGAATGCCAAGCAAAAAGGCAGGTACAGAGCTAAATTATTGGTCAGACGGATTTATGCTAATGATTGTGTTTCATCAGCATGGAAATGTTTTTAACTGAAATTACGAATCAAGACCTTCCAGTTACTTTATTATGAATAAATACCTACTCTCATGCATGAAGAATTAAGCATATGATGCTTGCTCTCAGACTATAATTCTTTGTTCTTTTTCACAAAAAAAGTCCTTAAAAAAATTGCTGTTTACTTGGCGATTTGGATTTCAGACTTTCTGCTATATTACACAATTTGTTTCAGATAGCATTCATTAAGAGAAATATTTCTGAACCTGGTTCAATATCATAAAAAATTGCTTTTTTATGATGTTGGTCTGGTTTTGATATTTCTCACAGCTTTTCAGTTAATTGTAATATGAGTCATCTTAGTCTTTGATTGGAGTGAAGGTAATATCTGAGTTATCCATGTTTTCTTACATGCATGTCTTTGAGTTTTGATAGGAGGACAAGGTTAAGAAGTTATCCTTTGGTGTTAGTTTCTCTCTTTCCTTCAGCACTGTCCTAAAGTAATATGTTACATTGTCATATTGCTTGCGATATCAATACATAGAAGTGGCCTGATGCCATTTATGCATCTTCAGAAAGTCCTTAATGGTTGCAGTAGCTGTTTTCCTCTTCCTCTCCAGGGGAACTTCCTTTTGGGTTTTCTTATATTCCTGATCAAGAAGGGTGTGTATTCTGTAGCACCAGTATAGTAATAAGAAATATATTTATAAATATTTTTAGAATTGGTTTGGTGGGAATTATATTTTAAAATTTTTCCTCTCTCCTATTAAATTTACAAAATGTTTAGGGATACACGTAACCATGCATTCTCTCAGGGGGCAAAGCACTGATCCTAATGAAAGGTTATGAAAACAAAATGTAAAGCAAGTAATTATATAAATTTAGTTACTTAATGTTGTACAGATACTAAAAATCTGCACTGCTTGGAGATTTTTAATTATGTTCTGAGATTTCAAAATTGTATGAGATATTAATGACGATATTGATTGTATGAGAAGTAATGAATAATTTTAAATCTTTGCTTTTGTAAATCTAAATTAAAGTATTTTATTGTAGGATCTTGGGGAAGAAGTTATGTTCAATATTTCTGAAGCTGGAGTATGTGATTAAATCACTTTATTAAGATAATTTTCGATGAATTCTTCTCATTCACTTTTAATTGCTTTTTAATGCAAATTAAATATTTTTGTGATGCATTTTGAAACATTTTAAATATTAAAATTTTTGTGAAGGCACAGCCTCTGTATGAGATTAATTTTGTAATGATAGTAACATAGTTTTTAATTTCATTCATGTATATATTAATTATTTTTTTATGATTATTTGTTAAAATCAGATATAACGCTGGCCATTTTTATGTACTGAAATTTCTTTTGTTCTCTTCATGTATATAATAAAAATTGTAAACATTCATAGAAGAGTTTTGTTTATTTAATTTGTAAAAAAAAACATTGTGAATTGCCATTAATACCATTTATGGATGAAAATGTTTCTTCATAAAGATTTTAAATAAAGGTATTTTGCAAATTATAACAGTGGTTCAATTCTTCTGCTGCTGAGAGTAAATATTTAAAATTATAAAATAACAAAAATTGTTCTTAACAGAAAAATTTTTGGAACATTATTTCTTTTTGATTATAGTTTAAAAAATTAAAATACTTTTCCCCTTAATATTTAATACATGACTTTGTGATTAACAGCAACAAATACATTGTTGCTCTATTTGGTACTCTTTTGAATTTTAACATTTTGACATTCTTTTAGGCATTCATTAACAGAGTTTGTACATAACTAAGTTCCGAAACATGGATTTTTAATCAAAACTGTGAGATAATTGCAAAATCTCAATTTTGAATATTTATAAATACAGTGACGAAAAAAATTCCAACACCAAGAAAAAAATTATTGTAGAGTAATGAAATTTTGGCAATACATTTATCGAGGTAATCTATTTAATTGATTAAATTTTCAAGATCACAGGTCAATGCAAGCACAAGAAAAGCCATTTCAAATGTGAATTGCTGGTATATTAATAACTGGTGTTACCACCAGGATTTTGAATGCAAACATGAATGCATTGTGTCATTCATGTGCCAGATGTCAATTTGTGGGATAGAGTTCCATGCGTGTTACACTGTTTGGTCATTATAGGCATTGTTAATGCTGATTGTGAACGCTGCTGGAGTTTTCTCCCGGTGATGTCCCATACGTACTCGATTTTAGAAAGATCTGGTGATCTAGCAGGGCAAGGCAACATGTCGATATTCTGTGAAGGATTTTGTTATAACAGTGATATAAAGCCAATCGTTACCCTGTTGGAAAACACCTCCTTGAATGCTGTTCATGAACGGCAGTAGAACAGGATGAATCACCATGTTCCTTTGACCATGACTCCAGGTATAAATCCAGTGTGTCTGGGCTGCAGATGCTCACCTGGTCTCCTTCTGACCAACACTGGCACCAAGGCAGAACCAGCTTTCATCAGAAAACAACAGATTTCGACTCCATCCTCCAGTGAGCTAGTTCTACCTTGACACCACTGACGTCGCAAACAGCAGTGGTTTGGAGTCAGTGGGATGCATGCTACAGGGCATCTGGCTCAGAGCTATCATTTTGTAACAGTTTGTTGTGTCACTGTGATGCCAAATGCAGCTTGAATTTCTGCTGCAGACTCAGTATGATGTGCCACAGCCATACTCCGAACAGGGCGGTCTTCCCTCTCAGTAGTGCTACATGGTTATTGGAACCTGGTCTTCTTAACCCAGTACTTACCCTTGACCAACTGCTGTCGGTAATCATGCACAGTGGCTGCATTCCTGCCAAGTCTTTCTGTAGTATAACATAAAGTAAATTTTTAACTTAACCCTATCACACAACCTTGTTTAAACTCAATGAGCTGTTGACAATTGCTTTTTCATTTCCTTAAAAGCATTCGACTAACATCAACTCACTATGTCAAATCTCAGTAATAAATAATGCTTACAAACTTTACAGTGTGTATTTAAAGCAAGCCTGGTTTGCAATCTTCATAGTGGCACTACTCGTGCCACACTTATGTGCCTAGCTTTAAATATGAATAGACATAACCTTTCATATGTATAAACATGACTATCAAATTTTATTTATCTAGCACAACTCATCCTTGGTGTTGAGATTTTTTTCTTCAGTGTAATTGACAGGTGTATTGATCACAAATAGTTTTTGGTAGCTAAATAGGAAAGAGGTATTTTTTTGTCACTTTATGAATCATCAGACTACTTTCAAACTGAACAAAACATAAGTACTCAAAAATTGTATTTAAGAAAAAAGCTTTTGCAGAATTATTCCCTTTTTTTTTTTTCCTGTAGATTATGGTTTCAAAAAATTATGAACAGCCTCTTTGTTTAATATTTAATCACAGTAGGTAATGTTAGCAAATAATGAATTGTTTTAATTTTTGTAACTTGTGTAATTCAGAATTTTACCTTCTTTGACATTGATTTAAGCATTTCCAGTTTGTCATTGAAAAGAGTAAACAGCTAAATAAATTCCAAAGAGTTAGTTATAAAACCTCCGAGTTAATTAGTTAATTTAGTCTTTTAGGTAGTGCGATAAGGAAAGAGGCATTTTATTGTCTCTTTATGGGTCATCAGTACACTTTTAAACTATAAACTGCTAAACTAAGCTGTTGGTCATATCTATTGCCGTATGGCGACTTATTTATTTTTATTGAAAAGATATTCATTAAATATAAAATTGAAATAATTAAAAAAGGAAAAATTGTTTTTGCTAAATTCAGCAAATTAAGGAGAAATTGAAATAGTTTTCTTTAAAGTGGCTAAATTTCATTAGATGTTTTATTGAAGCTTTTAAATCTCATCTGATAATTAATTTTTCATGAAGAATTATGAAGTTAGGAATTTGCAGAAATGTTTTGAATGCATATTTAGTTAATCTGTGTCGAATGTTTGTCCAATTCAGAACTTCAAACCTGATAATAATACTTATAACCTATAAGACTAAATAAATATTTTTTGAACTAAAAGCAAAGCTGTGGTAAGAAAATATAAGGGTGGATAAAATGAAAATGGAATAGCCACAAAATGAAAAGATATTATTTGTTTTCAAATGTTATCACAAAATAATTTTGGCGAGTCAAGCACTTGTCCCACTGTTGCACCAAGCCGTGAATTCTCGTTTATAGAAAGAGTTTGTCTGAGATTGAAGTCAGTTTTGAACTGTGTCCATGACATTGCAAGGGTGGATCAAACGAAAATGGAACAGTGGACGTAATTTGATATTTTTGTGTGACTGTCCGGAAAACTGTGTTTAAAAGAAGTGAAGAAACACAACCTTTATTGAGAATGGTTTTGCCCTAGGTAATCATGCAGAATCACATGATATGCATTGGTTATAGTGTCATCTGGCAGGTAACTATTTGTCATTTCATTCACATCTGCATAATGTTTGTGACCAAAAAAGAACAGTGTGGTGTTATTCATTTTTTAGTGGCAGGAGGTGCTGGAGTTCGTGTAGTGCATCTGTAAATGAAACAGTGTAGGAAAAACAATTCACTGTCACTGACTCATGTGCAGGACTGGCACAAGCCTTTGTGTGAGGGACCAAAATCTTTGAAAGATAATTCGTGACCTGGTAAAAGTCACCTCATCTTCACTGATGCTTTAGTGAATGAAGATGACCAGATCATCCATGCAAGCAGACGACGCACAATAAAGGACCATCAACGACGAGGTAGGTGTGAGTTTTGGTTCTGTTTGTGCCATCATTATGGAGAAACTGCATTAGAGGAAAGAGTGCACAGTGGGTGCCACAGAATCTTGCAGCATATTCTTCTATATTGTGCTAAGGACAATTTCTCAAATGGAGTGTGTTGGAATACTTATCATGCAGCCTGATCTTTCATGTGACTTTCATGTCTTTGGTCCACTAAAAAAGGCACTTGAGATTGATGTTTTCACCGAGGCAGTGAAGTTATGGGCACAGTTCAAAAATGGTTTCAATCTCGGCCAACTCTTGCTACAAATGAGGTATTCACCACTTAGTGCTATAGTGAGACAAGTGCTTGTGTAATTATGGTGATTACATTTGAAAATAAATAATGCCTTTTAATTTGACTACTGTTCCATTTTCATTTATTCACTCATATGTATTTTTGATGGAGACGTACTTCTGAAAGTTAATGCATAAAGGGAATGTGAGATTGAGTCTGAAAAGAATGTTTCTTAAAATTTGTTATTAAACAACAACAAAAGGAGTTTTTATAAAAAAAATAAGCTTTTATTTAAAATTAATTAATTAAATAAAAGGTGGATGTAATTAGCAATTATCTTTTACCTGTCTCACCCTTGGTACAGGTCTGTTCGAATCACTCTGGTTGTTGCGCCAGCAATCGACAGCTTGTGGACATTTGTCCTTTATTTAACACTTAATATAAAATACATAAACACGATACAATATTTACAAGGGCTAGCATGCCCGACATGATCAAGATGGTCTATTTTATAGGCGTATTGGTCCCCATATTGGATGCTTCGGATTAAAATCTCCCGATATTATGATGGGGGATATCTTGGTGTAGTTTTAACATGTCTTCTATTTGGACTAGGGTGGTGGTTATATCCTGCGAAGGTGGGCAGTAGACCGATGCTATGATGAAGGGATTGGGACCCCCAATCTTTATCGCTGTTATGTCCTCGTCACTTTTTATTGCTAAACCCGGGATGGCTCTATCTGTTAGGATTATTGCCATTTTGGCGTTTTGTTTACTACAGTTCTATGAACTGTAGGAAAACCATACAATTTCCCGTTTTTGAAATATGGCTCCTGAATACTTGCTATTTTTATAGTGTTATCTTGTTCTATTTTGTCTCTTAGATTCATCGTAGCACTCCTGGAGTGCTGTAAATTTATTTGAATTGCGATCTGATTGTCCATAATTTATTCTTCTTTTTAGTTTTTATAATTCTCTTACATAGCAAGCACAGTTCTTATCTCTGGTGTCGTGATTGGTATCTAAACCTGTGTGAAATTTTTCATTTACTTTTTGGCAATTTAAACATTTTGTCCGGTTTTCTTTGCAGTTAACCTTTTTATGCTCCTCCGAGCCGCATCCTGTGCATTTTTGATTCTCTTTACAATTTTTAGCTGAGGGATTAAACCCTGGACATTTGTGGCATTGGGTTATTGATAGGAATTCACATATATTGTTCCTCGTCTATTTTTAGTTTTCTTTTCTTTAATATTGCTTTGAATGTGTTTGGGATCTGCTGAGATAACCCAGTGTCGAGCGTATTTTGCTTTCATTGGAAAGAGAACTTCTATTTCTGAGTTTTCTATTTCTTGATTTTGCGACTTTATGATATCCTTTAATTCGTCCGGTTCTATGTCCTCATCAACGTTCTGCACTATGATCTTA